AGATGAAGAACTTAGATGAAGAACACCCTTGGAGAGGGTTGAAGAGAAAAGAAAGAAAAGTTGGGAGGAAATGGAAGGAGATTAGAGAGAATCCAATGGATTTATGGATTAAAGTGTAAGTTACAWGGTAGCCTAAGCTTCCTATTTATACCCAAAATGGRTACAAAAAGACAAAACACCAAAGCTTGGAGGCTAAGACTAATTCAAACTAGTTACAACATAWATAAAGTTTAACTAAGAAGTACAATACTTAACTAAAGTTTAACTAAGAAGTACAAAGGCTAACTAAAGAGTAAAAATCAGATTTCTTCCAAAAATACAGCYCATTTACAGCTGTTTTCCATCTTCAAAAAGCCAGCACATTGTCTATTATGCCCTCCAAAAAGTAGTGCAAGACCCAGGTCAATGCTGTACCAATGCTGCAGCACCTGCTGTTTTCACAAAAACTCCAAATTAGCTTCAATTATGCATACCAACAAGTTAACCACAATTTATAGCCTCATACTAATAAAAGTATAAAGAAATAAGTGAAAATGACTCAAAGTGGGAATGAAAAGAAATTATAATAACTAAACGACGCAAAAAAAACACTTTATGTGTTAAATTCTCAACACATATCATACCCCCAAACTTAAACCGTTGCTTGTCCCCAAGCAATCAAAAGACAAATAAAAAGACTCAATAAAAATGCATGATCTAGGCATTAAGTGCCTTCCCAAAAAGAATTGTAGCAACATGACGTTCATAGCCTTTCATAAATCTAAGATATGTTACTCAAAACCAAGATCTTTGTATGAACCATAGGCTAGCATTACCTTTTCTTTGTCGAGTTCAAACACAATCACCAAATTAGGATCAATAGGGCTTAAAGGGATATTCTCTCATTGGCGTATCTTTTCTCTCATAGCCTTTTTCAAATATACTCCACAAATTTTTCAAATTTTTGGGCCTTTTGGCCTCTTTTGCTTGGAGTGCGCACATAGCCCCTATGGGACTTTTGTTGTGCCATTTCATATCTTTTTTTTTTTTAAAACACATAGCCCCTATGGGACTTTTGTTGTGTTTTGAATACCCTTTGTGTGATAAGGAGTCAATTTAGAGTTTTGCTCTTTTGTATTGACTTTGTGTCCTTGTGTAAATTTCTCCCCCAAACTTGAATATGACAATGTCCTCATTGGCGTTTATGTGGGGTAAATGGTGTTTAAAGGGTGCAAGTGGCTAGCATGAGTGTAGAAAAGATGGCCTATTTCATTTCCTTAAGGTGATTGTGTGAGCAAAGTGTTTTCCCAAAAAGGGTTTTGCTAGTTCTAGTCAAAAACAAAGTATCATGATCAAATGATAAACAATCCCTAAAATTATTCAGGCTATGATCTCATGTGTTAACAGTTCTCAAGTGGAATGATCAAGCGTAAAAATAAGACTAAAAATTATTAAAAAAACTATTCCCGACGCAAAAAATTAAAATAAGAAGCTAAAGTAGGGTGGTAGAACCTGTCCTACTCCGAAGGAGTAGGCTGTGTGCTCCGGGCAGCCACGGATGCCATTCGTGTCCTCAGTCTTTTCGCCTCCGTCTTGTATTTGCTCAACTTTTGCTGATTCTTCGTTAACTTGCCAGCTACCTCAGTCTCCAATCCGTCTTTCAACTTCTCGAATCGCTTCTTCATTCTCTTCTCGCTGGCCTTTAACCTCTTCGTTAAATCAGCTTGCATTGCCTCAATCCTCTCCATCAGCTCGGCTTTTTGCTCGATCAACAGATCCATCATGCTACCATTCAGTTCTACTAT